TTCGACCTAGCGCTGATAGCTGCAACCTGTTACGCTGCGAAGAATTGTAACAGTGCTGTTCCGTGTAAGGCCAAGTTATGGGGGAGTGGATGTATAGACCCATATTTTCTTGCCCTCGGCACTGGCTGGATGTGAGTGATCAGCTTCAAGCCCCGGCCGCTTTACCACAGAGGAAAGAGTCCCAGGTACCCATTGGATAGGAGGCTGGGTGGGCTCCAGAGCCGGTCTGTACGACGTGAAGAAGAGAAAATTCTTGACCTTACCGGGACTCGAACTCCGACGCCTCGGTCATTCAGCTCGTAGTACAGTCACTATACCGACTGAGCCATCCCGGCTCCCTACTGTTCCGTGTATTTCATTGTAATTACACTTAAATTATTATACTTAACAATCACTTATATAAAAACAAGAACCTATGGGAAGAACACGATGGGACTCGAAACCAAGGACAACTGTGCTTGTGGGGACCAGCAGCAATTCACTTATACGCTATGCTATGCTGTTAGAAATTACGAGTAAGGCGGGATACACACACACAGACACACAGACAGCAAAGTGATCTCATAAGCCTCCGCTTATTTTTTCAGCCTAAGCAATGTGGGCTACAAGTGACATCAAGTTCAATCATTGCAAACAATTACACACAGCCCCAGTGGGCCTAGGCCTACCTCCATGAACTTATCCGTTCACTTCGGTTTTTCTAGATCTTACACATTCAGTAGGACTCCTTGGGCGGGCGATCAGCTCGTCGCAAGGAGGTCACGTATAACCACCTGAATATTTGTTCTTATTGATAAGGGCCGTCATATGTTTCTACTGAAGCTGTAATTTCACGCATCGGATGTACCCATATTGAGAGACCAAGGTTGTGCGAGGTCAGGAAAGTTGTGTTCATGTTTGATCTCACAACTAAGCATTTCCCAGTGAAACGTCCCACGCTGAAAGAGAGAAGAAAAGAAATACAGCTACAAGACGCCTGCTACAGCAGCAGATGTAACGGTAACTTTAACGTTTCGAGAGATTTTGTGCTGTAGCCTACATAGACTGAGCGAGGTAAAGAAAGGTGCCGAGAAATATATTTTGACACAAGGAAGAGAGAATAAGAAGGAACTGAAAAAAAAAGAAACACTCCTCGCCTCTTTCTCTTCTGGTAGTTCCGATTAAAACTGTTCTGAAATAATAATTCTTACATTTGATAAGCGTCCCGTATTTTAGGTGGGTTATTTAACAAGCACATCACAGTGGCCGCGCGGTCTAAGGCATGAACTGTTTTCGCCCACTCGAACACTGGGATCGTGGGTTCGAATCTCACTAAAGGCATGGATGTCTGTGTGCGTTTATTCTGTGTTTGTGCTTTGTTGTGTGCGGAGGTAGCAGAATTGAGACGGGCTGATCCCCCGTCCAAGGAGTCCTACCGACTGTGTGAAAGATCAAGAAACTGAAAAGAGGCCAAGATGCAACAAAAGGGCGTATAAACATAGATAGACTTAACGACAGTTTGAGTATCGAAGTTGTACAGCATCGGTTCATAGGATGGCTGCTGGGCTGGAGAGGACTATGAAGGAGATTATCATGGCCTGATCGAGGTACTATCATTGTATTGGTCTGGAGAGACTGCGGAAAACCGCGAGAGACTTCAGTCAGGAGAACCAATGTCCCGGCCGAGGTTCGAACTGAGCACATCCCGAATACAAGTGTAGAGCGTTACAGGTAGACCAACCTGTTCGTAACCAAGTACTGTTAGGACGATTTAATCAAGATATTTGAGACTGGCAGAACATGTAGCACACAAAAGTGAAATTTAAAAATGTGTACAAAATTTTCACGCGAAAACCTTGCGGGTGGTGGAGAAGAATGCGTGAGAGTCTTTGGAACAGATTAGAGGATATTATTAAAATGAGTCTAAGAGAAACAGAATTTTAAAGTGGACTTGATTTGGCTGGATCTGAATACGTTTAAATGGTTGTCGCTTTCATCATGATGATGAGTCCTCGGTTGCCACAAAAGCGGGACGTTTCTTGACTATGAAGAAAGCAGTCTTCTGGGATTTGGCACCGTGTATATGTGGTATCGTTTTGCGATACATTCCTCCGAAACGTCGGTTAACACCACATATACACGGTGCCAAATCCCAGAAGACTGCTTTCTTCATAGTCACCGCCGTGAAAGCCTCAAATCTTACATTTCTTGACTAGCTCAGTAACTATCGACTTATCAGGAAAAGCCCTGCTTTCATTTCAGTTTATCAGGAAGACGTGATATGTATTGTGAGCTGGAACTTTGTACATTTCTTTTGGGCCCAAGTTATTAGGAAGAAATCGGTTTCTGTGAAGTGATGTTTCCTTAAAAATATATTCAGTTATGGAGCTGGCTTCATTTGTTTCTCGCTGTCCATTTATGATCTTTTTCCATTTTCTTCTTCACTGTCTCATCTCACCCTGTTTGTTCGCTTTCTTCATTTTTTAAATATGTCGTTTCTTCTTCCTTCGAGGTCATATTCTTCCTCTTTTGTTCTTTCCTCCACTTTCTTGTTCTTGTTTTCCTTTTCAGCTTCCTTTTTTTTCCTTTTTCGTTTTCTTTCTTGTTGCTCTATACATATTTCGTCTTCACCTTCATCTTCTTTCCGTTCATTCCTCCATCTCTTCTTGCTTCCCGTCTTGCTCTTCCCTGTTTTCGTCTCTCCCTTACCCGTCTTCAACTTCTTTTACATTTCTTCCCGTTTCTCCTTTTTCTCCTCCTCCACCTACATCTCACTTTTCTTATTGTCCTCTGTCATGCCCCTTGCGTTGCAGTCACAGAGTTTTGTGTTAAAGACACGAGATGGCTCTATTCTGGAGAGTCACAGATAATGAATGTGTCATCTGTAGCTGAATGTAGGTCCTGGTAATGTCCGCTGTAACATCGCCGGCTGACGTGAAGTGTAAGGCCTCCTACAGATCCGTTTCGTCTTGCACAAGGAGGGGCAAAGACCGTAATAATGTGAGTACTCTATGATTATTCGAATCAAGGACAGGAAATGCAGAAACCGGGTCTTGCTCCGAATAGTTACCGCGGAGACTGTCAAATTACAAAAGAAGACGGTCGGCTGCATTACATTAATTGGGCATTTTTTGCAGCCTCTAGAACATTCTACACGAGTGACTAGAAAAGAACATATTCACACTGCCCTGTACTCTCTAAAGATGTCAGCGTGTTGCAAAAAAAAGTTATATGTTTTCTTTGGTCTTTGACTTCAGTACTAAGTCCATTCCATTACCCTCCTAAACGGCATTTATCCCGAAGATATTGAGGATATTTCCGGCACAAATACCCCTTCCCCTGACAGAAACATTGCCTCCATATTATATTTAAGCATGATCAATTCTGTTGGTGTTGGTGTTCCCCCACCTTGTCGTGGTGAGGGGGTTTGGGAGCCCTCAAAACTCAACTGCTGTGCGGGCGGTAGTGTAGTAATTGGTAGGATCTCCCTTGCTGCATAGAAGTAAGGGCCGGACGAAGAAGAATAAATACCCTGGGCTTCCATGTTGGGGGTTGTGCAGGTAGATTGGTAACTTCCCCTCTTAAAAGATTGGAATATCTACTCATTTCACAGATTAATATGGGAAATCGAAACAGGTTTAATTATCTGTGTCGACAGGCGAAAGGAAACGAATACGAGAGAGAAAGTAAGAACAGCACAGTAATTTTAATCGACGTTTCATAAAATATCATTCGATATACTAAATTTGCTCAAATAAATGCAAAAGAGGACGGACGGAACATTTACCACGCATGAGGAAAGTGAGGAGTACACAGTTGTAGTCGGAACTGATGGAAGCAGAACCACTTTGGAGACTTGGGCAAATATGGGCGAACAGTACTGTGACATGACGGCTGAAAGCCAGAATAGTGGAGCCGGAGCAGACGTCCATTGCTGAGCAACGGCTCGGTAATCATCTTTCCGCGGCAACGAATGTTAACAAAGACTAGTTTCCGTTAGAACGAATAACAGCGAACGAGTCGTTGCCAGGTAGCAAGTTGCTAAACACAAATTGCCGTGACAACCAACAAGATGAAGAAAGCAGTCTTCTGGGATTTGGCACCGTGTATATGTGGTGTTAACCGACGTTTCGGAGGAACATATCGCCTCCATCTTCAGGGTATAAAAAAAATATAAGAAATCTGCAAGCGAAGAGACCGTGAGAACTGGTAAAAGCAGGCTGGTGCCAAATCCCAGAAGACTGCTTTCTTCATAGTCACGGCCGTGAAAGCCTCAAATCTTACAACCAACAAGATATCAGAGGGAATTAACCGTTCGACATGGAGCCTTCCATTACGATCGTCTAGCAATTGTAAAAGGGACTTCATTTGTGAATTCGAGAGATTCAGACAGCACTGAAAGATCAGCCTGAGATTCTTCATAGAGATTTGTCAAGACAGACGTGGTTCAGAAGGAGTTCACTGTGTGACAATAATTGACTATAATTGTATAGAAGTACCAAGGAACCCATCATTATTAGTCACGCCAACCCTGGAATACGTGACAATCATACCATTAAGACCAGTTTTAATATTATGTGAACTAGACTGGACGAGCTCAGGATATGTTGCAATGATGGCCTCCATAAAATCGAGGAATATCATAACCATCTGAGTGATTATGAGCTTCTAAAGAAGGACCCCTTTCCCACAGAGTTAGTGTTAACAAATACTCTGCGATTTTCGGTCTCTCTCCTTCCGAACACTATGTCTTCAAGCTTTTAATGCGCAGTGCGAGCTTTCAATTCAATATCACTAAATGCTTTGTGAGCGAAAGGCAAACAAACCAGCTCCGTATTACAATGCTCTCTGGCTCGGACAGGCATGTGCGACGGCGCGGGCTCTCGGCAGGCGACAGAGGGATTGTTGAATGGTAAAGGAAGGAAAAGTGGAGGGGGAAAGAAGGGAGGGGAGATGTTCCCTAGAAGAGCTCCGAGGTGTATTTTTCATGGCACGGTCTACTAAAAGTCTTACAACTAACGCCAAACGCAGACCACAGGTTTGTCCATTCCGGCCTGAGAAGTTGCATGAACTTGCACTTTGAAACATTGTTGCTTACATTCTAATGAGAAGTGCACTGTTGAGTGTATGTGTTTAGTTATGTATGTAGGGGAAAATAACGTCAACAGTTTAGTGTTTTTACATTAGAAAGCGAAGAGGATTTCATTTAAGACATTCATGTTTCTGCATCGATTTCGCGTCATAGTTACATGACAGAAGAGACACGCATCTGCTTCAAATGCTGTCCAACTTCTGACATCTGAATTCAGCACACTTATCCAACAACAGCGGAAACAGGAGGGACCATAACCGGAAGGGCACTGAAGGCACACCGCGAAAATGTTAACCAGGTAATAAATAAGTACATGAAATGTCATTGGCGGATTGTGAGTAGGAGTTATCCTGTTGCTTCTGACGCCGTGTTAGATGCTAATGATTATGTATCTTTTCGAATGAGATATATTACGATGAATCGTAATAATTCGCAGGAGGTTTGCCTTCGAGGAACTGAGAAAATCCACGAAATCTCAGTTATGATAGGAAGTAACCAGCATGCATTCCAACTAGCTACTTTCGGAGCGCGAGTTACCGCTTCGTCAACCTGCTCTCTTTGAGTAGGGGAGTGCACGAATTTAGTTCAGAAGAAGTGTAAAGTTGCGGGGGAAGGGTAAATGTCGCCCATTTAAGGTTGGAGCTCGGGCCGCGCCTTAGCTCAGGCTGTTAGTCGCGGGCTTCCCACCGCGGCGGCCCGGTTTCGAGGCCAGATCAAGTCATTTGGGATTTGTGGTGGACAAAGTGACACTGGGGCAGGATTCCTCCAAGTACTTCGGTTTCCCCTGCCAATTCTCATTCCACCGACTGCTCCACATTCATCATCATCTATCATCGGGTCTGGTACAATAGGCCAATTAGTGGCAGACGTACCAAGTAGACTCAATCTTGCGCCACCCCAAGAAAAAAAAAGAACTAAAGTTGAAACCCAGGTGCATAGGCCTTAATATAATATAGAAGAACAAAAATACCGTAATGCATAGTGCATAATCCTCGTAATATATTTCGTTACTAAAAGTTTAAAATTTTAATATTTTGAACGGAAACTTTTGATTTGACAAAAAGATTACTTTTCTCGTGCTAAAAGAAAAAATGTATAAATGCTACCTATACAGTGTACCAAATACGGGCAACTTGTCTTTTCGTAAAATAACACTAGTCCATATTTTTCAAGGAAGAAACACGCGCAAGAAACCAAGAGGGATCGCACTGGAAATTGACAAATATAGAGTACGGTCTTGTTGGTTGTAAAACTGTGTAGTTCAGGGACAACCCGACGGTTCTGAGCTTCTCGCCGGCTTTTGCTGGTTTCTTGCTTGGTTTAATTTTTGACCCCGAAAATGGAGGCGATATGTTCCTTCGAAACGTCAGGACTACACGAGAGTTACTTACTTACTTACACATGGAGTTGAGCCCTAGCAACCGCCAATTCTGCAGCTACTCAATAATTTTCCAGCATGTTATGGAACCCGAAATTTCATTATCGTGTTCACAAGAGCCCACCACTTGTCCCTATCCTGAGCCATATCAATCCAATCCATACCTCCCATTATATCTCTATAAGATCCATTTTAATATTGCCCACCCACCTACGTCTTGGTCTTCCCCGTGGTCTCCTTCCTTCTGGCTTCCCCACCAATATCCTATATACATTCCTCGTCTCCCCCAGAATCCGCTCAGATCCGAGGCTTTGTGTTCATTTTCGTAACACTATTATTTTGTATGGCGAGGAGTTGTTAGCCCCACGTCCAACCCCCAAGCTGGAGGACCACCCCTTGTCGGTTGTCCGCGTCTACTTATTCAATATATTCGCACCTTCCCCCCATATCTGGAGGTTGTCTCCGTCCGCAACCTGAGGACGCGCCATGACGTCGTGACGAGGGTTACAACCCAGAAAACCATACACTTCATAGTCACCGCCGTTAGAATATCAAATCCAATAGATATATAACCAGAGAAAAAATTTTGCAAAATATTTTTTACATTTTTTATAAGGAATGTTTTCCAAATGTGTAAGCATTAGTGAGAAAACCCTTTCTGTTCAGAGGACATAAATGTATTTAAATCCTTTGTTCTTTCTGTGGTCACACTTTTCATGAAAACGTTTCGTACACTCCATGCAATTTCCATCTTTGTTATCGCTCTAGTGAAGTCCATAGCTTCACTGCCACTGCCTTCAGCAGACAAGTCCATCCTCGGTAGAAGCGTCAGCTGGTCTATAGAGCGCTGTCGGCTTTCCTTGCTGGTGCAGTACACCAGCCATCGCCTCCATGAGCTATAATTGCATGGAACTGACTGCTAAGCCAGTCAAAAGATTCCATGTATTGTATGGAGCCCGATAAATTACCGTGTTCACAAGTGCCCGTCACTCGTCTTCATCTTGAGCCAGATGAATCCCGTCCATACCCCCAGCCTGTATCTGTAAGATCCAATTTAATGCTACTTTCATTATTTTGAACAAATGAAAGGAGGCCTGTCAGATCACTTTTTTTATTGCTAGTGGGGTGGGCCACTTCTGGCCTACTGTACCAGCCTCAGATGATAAGTGAGGGTGATTGTGGAGCAATGGCTGGAATGAAGATTGGCAGGGGAAACCGAAGTACTCGGAGAAAACCTGCCCCAGCACCACTTTGTCCACCACAAATCCCACTTGACCAGACCAGGTGGGAAGGCAGCGACTAACCGCTTGAGCTATCCGCGGCCCGTGAGATCACCTTGCTCTCTGTGTGTCTGTGGGGGGTTGTGTATCCCCCTAAAACCTGTCAACAGGAATAATGGAGCCAGAAGAGACCTGTCTCTATATCTGTATTTGTATCCTTATCGTTGCTAGGCAACGACTCGCTAAAATCTTTATCGCGACGACTAATACACACCCAACAATGACTAGGTAAACACGTTCCCGCGGCGAAAAATACACACAACTATAGAAGTGTCCTATTCGTCGTTTCATATGGGGTTCGCCTGTCTGTATGTGTATCCTCCCGTCTTTGCTAGGCAGTGGTTCGGTAAAAATGTTCCCGCTGCAAAGAAGAATTATTTGAGGCGTAATAGACAATCAGTTATTCCCAGGACTTCTTTTTTAATATTATCTTCCTATCAATGTCTAGGTGTTCCTAGGTGCATACTTCCTTCAGGTTTTCCTACCGACACCAAATATCGGATTCGAGGCGAAATTATGAACAGGGTTGCGGGTGATGTTAGGAAAACTGCATGGTTTTAACATGGCGGCTCCTTAAAATAATGCTAGTCAGATTAACCATCTCAGAGGGACACGAATAAATATGTTATCTGTGTCATGAACCACGTAACCTATGGTTTCAGTGACTGCAATCATTTTACTGCTGCTGTAGTAACCCGGGCCGCCGCGGTGAGAAGCCAGCGACTGACCGCCTGAGCTGTGGCGCGGCCTTGAGGTGGAGTAACCGTTTTTCTTTGGACTCATCTGCAGTCGGTGTAGTGACTAAGCTACAAACTGGATGACCGAGGAATTAAGGTTCAATTCCCCGTAGTGGCAAGAGCACCACAGTCCGAAGGTCCAGTATTGTTAATATCAACTCGAACCCTATCCTAAACTATTTGGTCCACCGTCAGAACCAAATTTCATAAGATCCGTTAGAACTGTTGACGCGGCCCTGAATGTTATTGTCATATTTTGCTTACATGTCAAGGAACTTCCACTAATTTCAGTCCTTCTTTACCTGCAGTGTTAAGGTTCACGTACCTCCCATATATTCCTTAACATTGCCAAGCGATTGAGCCACTGTATGCGGGCGTTGTATTCATAATCGGATTTTTGAACTCTTACAGATCCGTGACTGGTAATTATAACCGTTTGACTAATTCACGCACTCTACAGTTCACTACAACACACACTTAATTCTTCTCAGCCTGCTGTCTCTTCATCTGTCTTCTGGTAACGGCTTCCAATGGCGGACGGTCCCCTGCTTCTGGCTTCCGAACTGCCTCTCGGTCTCAGCTAACAGTTACCAGCAAGAGCTTTCAACGACTGAACTACATTTCTCTTACTATCTCGCAAGCCGATCTTCACTCCACTAACAGACTAACTCCTCACCATCTGTCCAGCTCATAATGTCTCGGCACGGATCGCACAGAAAACACTGTTCCTCTGTTGCTGTTTACGGGCCGTTACCTAGTAACAGCTGTTGTCTACTTGTTTGTTTCGCGATCGTTGCCTAGCAATATACTGCTATAATCTTTTTTGGCCAAACAACGCTAGGAGCACAAACTCCAGTGCTCCACTCGGCAATAATTAAGGGTGTAGTTAATCTGAGTTTCACTCGCATTTTATGGTTTTCCTACGGCTGGAAGAATTTTTTGCGTCCTCATTATGACCTGATGTGTTTCTGTACCTGATATTCTGAATCCGAACCTGTGTCTCTCATCTGTTTCCATCTTCAGTTGAGGAGTGAGACATAAGTAAATTCTGCTGGGTCCGTTAGAAAGAACTAACTAGAGATTGAAGTTAGCTCTTTCTAACAGACAAAAGAGGGAGTAGGCGAACTGACTGAACATAAGGCACATGAAAAGTATAGTATTTTGCTTTCTTGTACTTTACTTTTTTCTTGTAACAATATAGTTTGGTATCGCAGTACAATAATATATAAGATCGGGTAAATATATGAACCTATAATTAAAACGAGAGAGCTCCGAAATTAAATATATTCTGCAGGTGATTTATTCTTCTTCTTCTATTCAAGTTGCTTCCACTTTGGAACATAGGCCACCCGCGAAACGGTCTTTTCTCTTCAGTTTCTTAATCTTAGACAATTGATAGGACTCCTTGGACGGGAGATCAGCCCGTCGCAAAGCCACTACCTTAACACAAACAGAATAAACGCAGACATCCATGCCTTGAGTGGGATTTGAACCCATAATCCCAGAGTTCGAGAGAGCAGGACAGTCAATGCCGCAGACCGCGCGGCCACTGTGATCGTTACAGGTGATATAGCGTCCTTAAATCATTGATGGCTATATGATGTTGAAACGGAGCGGAAAAGATGATGAGGAAAGAATGAAATATGGACAGAATGGATTTTTGTTTAGTTTTTAGTTCTTTTAACGACGCTGTCAGTAGCGAAGATCAGCTAAAGTTGGCCCTAACACTGACAAGCGGCCGTGGCTCGGTCGGTATAGTTCGCTTGCGGATTACAGGCACGGAGTTTGCTTTTGTTGTCAGTAGCGAAACCAATATGGCGTCGAACGACAAAATGATCAGTGAATAATGAATAAGAAAGAATATGTAAGGAAGCCGCCTGCGCCTAATTTCGGGCACTAATCC